CCGCCCCAGCCCCGAGTGGCTGGAGTCCATCAGGATGCCCCAGTACACGGAGCACTTCATGGCCTCGGGCTACAGCACCATCGAGAAGGTCCTGCAGATGACCAGCGAGTGAGTCCCTGTCCCCACGCTGTCCCCACACCATCCCCTTGGTACCCCCATGCCGTCCCCATGGGGTGTCCCCATACTAACCCCCCATGTTGTCCCCTTGGTGTCCCCATACTGTGTCCCCATGGTGACCCCATACCATCCTCCCTTGATGTCCCCATACCATGTCCCATACCATCACCATGGTATTCCCATGGTGTCCCCTTGGCGTCCCCATGGTGTCACCATAATGTTTCCAGTGTCCCCATACCGTGTCCCCATGGTGTCCCCCTACCATCCTCATGGTGTCCCTGTGGGGTGTCCCCATAGCATCCTCCCCTGGTGTCCCCATGGTGTGTCTCCATGGTGTCCCCATAGTGTGTCCCCTTGGTGTCCTCATACGGTTTCTGTGGTATCCCCTTTGTATCTCCATGATGTCCCCATAGCATGTCTCCTTGGTGTCCCTATGATGTCCCCATGGTGTCCTCATACTGTTCCCATGGTGTCCCCTTAGTATCCCCATCCCGTGTCCCCATACTGTCTCCATGATGTCCCCATACCATCCCTGTGGTGTGTCCCCACGCTGTCCCCATTACTGTCCCCTCCCATGGGGACAGGGACGTGCTGGGAAAGGAAACCGCTTCCGTGGCGTTTGCGTCGTTGGCCCAAGGGAGGGGACAAAATTAGACATGGCCAGGATCCAGCGGGGGGGTCAGGGCAAGCTGTGTCCTGCTGTCCATCCATCCATCCCCTGGGAACAGCCCTCCCTCCAAAAGACCCTCTCCCCCTGGACCCTTTTTGGGCTCTTTTCACCCCAATAACCCTTTAATTTTTTTATTATTTTCTCTTCCAGCGACATCAAGAAAATCGGGGTGCGCTTGCCGGGGCACCAGAAGCGAATCGCCTACAGCCTGCTGGGGCTGCAGGAGCAGGCCGGGACCGGGGGGGTCCCCATTTAACCCCCCTGCACCCCCCAAAATACTTGAACCAAATGAAGACACCCCCCCTCATCCCCAAGGGGTTTATTTATTATTTCTATTATTATTAAGGGTTTTTTATAGTATTATTATTATTGTTATTATGATCCCCGGGGTTGGGGACGAAACGGGTGTCACCCCCATCCTCCCCCCGCAAAAATCATGAAAATTAAATTTCAAGCTCATTTTGGGCTGGGGGGGGGAGGTGGTTTTTTTTTGTTTTTTTTTTTCCCCCCACATTTCAAGAAAAAAAAGGGCTCAGCCCCAAAACTGCCGTATTTTTGCTTTTTTCTCCCTATTTATTCCTCTCCCACTGGGTTTTTGGGTGTGGGGTTCCCCCCCCCCATTTTTAATGCTGATCTGCCAGTGTTACCTTTTCCTTCTATTTTTTAACCTAATTTATTCTATTTTTGTATATTTATTGCAAGGAAGCAAAGGGTGCGTCAGATTCGGGAGAGCAAAAAAGGGGGGAAAATGGGGGAAAAAAACCCAAACCCAGATCCTTTTTTTTGGTTTTTTTTTCCCCTCCTTTTTTTTCACGGATTTTCAGGGGTTTGGGGGATTTTTGTGGGGTTTGGATTTGAATAAAAATGTGGGTTTTGTTTGGTTTTTTTCTATACTATCGTCATTTCCTGCTGGCTGGGAACCAATACTAAAGAAGCTGCAAAATAAGGGGAAACACCCTAAAATCCCCACTCTGGGTGCTCGGTGGGGTGATGCCCCCCCCACCCCCTAACCCTGCCTGGGTGAGGGTGCTGTGGGTGGGGATTTGGGGTCTCACTGATGTCATTGTGTGTGTGTGTGTGTGTGTCCCAGCTTGTCCCCCCGGCTCCTTCAAGGCTGCAGTGTCCCCAAGCGGCTGCCGGCCCTGCCCGCTCCAC